TATATTTAAATAAGTTATTTACCCCACATGCTGAGGGCAACAACTGAATTCCCAAAAGTGATGCCCTGCTCCGCTCTGACAGCAGACGCCGTCAATATCATTATATGATAAATGAATTTGACGCTCAAGAAGAATATCATTACTATTGAAAAAATCAACATCCATCTCACTTTTTTCTGTAAAAAATAATAACAAGGTAATTATTTAATAGAGTAACTGTGGCTTAACACATTTGCGGACATAAAAGATTCAGCAAGGTAAAAAACACTGATTATAAGGGTAGTCAGATTATATTGGATGAATGCTCTTTTTTTTTAATTACAATATTTATTACAACTGTTAAATAATTTAACATCTAGTAATAATAATGAACAATTTAAATAAAAAAGAGTACAAAATAAAGGATAGTATTTACATTAAAATGATATCCGTAGTATAATGATTTAATATAAAATAAAAGCAAACTAGCTGTTAGTGGAATTCTGTCTTGAGGCAATTATGGCATCGTGCCTTAAAGCAAATTGCTAGAACTTCCCGTACCGTAACGAAATGTTCGAGGAATACTGAATGTTTTCAAATAGATTATTATAAATATTGTAACATTGTCTAATATTTATGAGAATTATATAAACTGAATTGCAGCGTTAAAATTATTTGTAAAGTATATTAGAACTATAGTCAGAAATAAAAATAAAATCTGGAATATTTTCGATATACAAAAAACTAAAAAAAAAAAAAAAAGTTGGAACAAAATTTTTTTTCCAAAATCAATTATTCTGTTAAGACAAGCAGAAAGTTCTTTGAATCATTTAAATCGGACGCTTAGTTCTCTCAAAAATTGCCATTTTTTACATATTTAGCTCCGTATCTTCAAAATTGCTGGGCCTGCCTTTGCCAAAAACTAATAAACACTTCTCCCAATCATTACTAATTGAATGTTTTTTAGATCATTCAAATCGGATACTCCGTTCTCTCAAAAATTCGATTTCTATTTTCTGCACTCTTTGCTCCATATCTCCGAAACGGCTGGACCTGCCTTTGCCAAAAACTAATCAGCTCTTTTCCCTATCAATAGGAATCGAATGTTTTTTGAACCATTCAAATCGGTTGATCCGTACGCCCGAAAACGTGGGCGAAAATTTGTATCCATACATACATACACACACACACACATACACACACACACACACACACACACACATCCATTTTTTCTGAGGTATGCCAAAACGTTCAGAAACCTTCAAAACGTCGAGAAATGTAAAAATTTTCAATTCCGATTTTCGGCCCATTACAATAACTTACCATACGGAAAGTTAATAAAAGCAAATAACTAGCTGTAAGTGGAATTCTGTCTTAAGGCAATTAGGGCATCGTGCCTTAAGGCAAATTGCTGGAACTTCCCGTACCAAAAATGATTATTTTTTTTAAAAACGATTAACATTTTTGAAAAAAAATTATTTCGAAAAAATAAGATTTTTGAGAAACTATAAATTGGACAAAAAATTACTTTTTTTTGAAAAAAAAAAAATTTTTTTAAAAATTTTTTTTTAAAAAAAATTTTTTTAAATTTTTTTTTTTTGAAAAAAAAATGTTTTTTTTATTTTGACATATTTTGGAAGATCTGAACTTGTTTTTCAAAGCAATCGTACCGCTTTAACTGCATAGAGACAAAATATAAAGCGCGTAAGCGCAGCGTCGCTGTCTAACGGGTAAACATTGGTACGGAACCCATAGGAAAATAAACAAAATTTATACTCATTGTTAAAATCTCTATAAAATATCTGAAAATTTGATGTGCATATGTTTAATGATCATTTTTGACCGCCAAATGGCTCATTTTTTTACTTTTTTCGTTAGATCTCCGAAACCGCTAGACCTGCCTTTATGAAAATTTGATCAATTCTTTATCTTGTCAATACAAGTTGAATGTTTTTTGAATTATTAAAATCGGACGCTCCGTTCTCATAAAAACTGAGTTACCGTTTTCGGCACTTTTTGCCCCGTATCTCCGGAACGGCTAGACCTGCCTTCGCCAAAAACTAATCAGCACGTCTCCTTATCAATACGAATCGAATGTTTTTTGAATTATTCAAATCGGTTGATCCGTGTTCCCGAAATCGTCGACGAAAATTTGTATCCGCACATACATACACACACGCACACACACACACACACACACACACACATACATCCATTTTTTCTAAGGTATGCCAAAATGTTCAGAAACCTCTGAAACGTAAAGATATATAAAAATTTTCATTTTCGATTTTTTTGCGATTACTATAACTTACCCTACGGGAAGTTAATAATAATAATAAAATTAATAAATAAAATAAATAAAATTTTTGAATAATAAAAATAATACTAGAAAAACAATGAAATGGAATAAAAACAATAAGATAATAATAAATATAACAAAATAACAATATTAGAAATAACAAGATCATAATAATAATATTCAAGTTAGCGTTTACAAATGGCTATTTATGAGATTATTGGGATTTTTTGTTTTAGTCTGGTTGGGCGCGCTTCTAAAAATACTATTATTATTATCATATATTTGGATGAATGCTATAGCATCCACGTCAAGAATTTCTCTTCTATTTTACGCAATGTGCTTGCCCAAGCTGATTAGTGAAAAAACTGGACCGAAAATACCTGAAGAATCAGTTAGTCATCACCTTGACAGGTTTAATAATTACAAAAATTTAAGGTTATTTGAACATAAATTCAAAATAATTGACTTCATAGTTTGAATCATAATGAACATAAATGCTATAGCATTCACGTCCGCACACGTGTTAAGAAGTACCTCCTAAACCTGAAGGATATGATGCTGTAATATTAAGTGGAATTAAATTAAAAGAAAATCTTTGGGGTTTACTTAGCATTTATTTAGTTGACTTATGATAAGCCAGTAAATTATATGTGTTGTCCGTAAACTGGTAGACATAATGGAAAAAAATTAATATTTTTACCACATGTGTGGAACTAATTGCGAATCCTAATTGCGACATTTTTATTATTTTGTGAGAAATTTGGAAATGCTATCTGAATAAAAGAGATTTGTGTTAAGTTTATTTTGTTTATTTATTATTCTAATATTATAAATAGGCGAAAAAGATCCTTTCTATAATTCGTCGTTTAAATAATTTTGTTTTCGAATTGTAGTACAGTCGGGTTAAAAACGACTATATTATGTTTTAAAGTATTAATGTGGTCCGAAAGCATAGTTTTAAATTGTCTGGGATTTTTTGAATCACTTTTGTGTTGTTGTAAACGTTTTATCAAGTTCTAGCTCGTTTGAAGGAAATTCATGTTCAAACTTTGTTAATTTATATTATATTATATATACATATATATATATATATATGTGTGTGTGTATGTGTGTATGTATATATTACTTACGTATATCATGGCAAAAAATAGAAAAATGTGCGCGATTAAGGCTAGTAACACCAGTGCAGAATAAAGTATAATATACAGCTCGCCCTTTTCTAAAAAGCAAAACAAATTATTAGAAGATGTTTATACAACTTGCCTCAAGGCAAAGTACCACTTACATCTAGTTTTATATATACAATTTATATACATAATATGAAAACATACCCACTTTTGTGTATCCAGATATCTTTATTATATTGATATAAGTTCTTCTTGTGTACATTATCTGTAAAGGATAAAATAAATTTTAATTTATAGGGTATAAAATCATAGCAATTGTTTAAAAATTGAAAATAAAAATTATGGTGCATATTTTAGCCGTTTCAGAGGTTTCTGAACACTTTGGCATACATTAGTAAAAATGAATGTGTGAGAATACAATTTTCGGAAGTGCTGATTGGTTTTTGGCAAAGGCAGGTCCAGCCATTTCGGTTATACAAAGCAGGGTAAATAATAATAGCAATCATCTAAAAATTGTAATTATAAAATGTTGGTGTATATCTTTACGTTTCAGAGGTTTCTGAACATTTTGGCATACAATAGAACAAGTGTATGTGTGTGTGTAGATACAAATTTTCGTTCACGAATTCGAGCGCACGGATCAACCGATTTGATTATTCAAAAAACATTCGATTCGTATTAATAGGGAGATGTGCTGATTGTTTTTGCCAAAGGCAGGCACAGCCGTTTTAGAGGTATGGAGCAAAGAGTGCCGAAAATAGAATCAAACTTTTTGAGAGAACGAAGCATCCGATTTGAATGCTTCAAAAGTCATTCGATTCCTATTGATAGGGAGATGTGGTAATGGGTTTTTAGCAAAGGCAGGTCCAACCGTTTTGGAGATACGGGGCAAAGAGTGCGTAAAATAGAAATCGAGTTTTTGAGAGAACGGAGCATCCGATTTGAATGATTCAAAAATTATTCGATTACTATTGATGGTAAGACGTGCTGATTGATTTTTCGCAAAGACAGGCCTAGCTGTCTCGGAGATAGAAAGCAAAAAATGGGAACTTCGTTTTTTCGAGAACGGAGCATCCGATTTGAATGATTCAAAAAACATTGCACTTGTATTGAAAATTTAAAATTTCACATATGGTAGTGGTAGCATTTAGCTATACACCACTAGTTTTTTATATTTTCTGTGGATGAATCATATCATTATCAAGTATCATTTCCGCGAATATTGTAAACAATCTCGTGTTCGACAATCGTGTTTAATTACCAAGATACGAATGCGAATTGTTTTGATGGTATTTTCAAACAATATCGATTGTGGCAATGAAAACAAGCTTTGTTTTAACCAATGAATGTGGTAGAAAACAAATTTTGTTTAAATTCGAATCATTATCTTTGCAGAAATGTTTCACCTTTTTGCAGCAATTGCTCATTCCGAGTCGAGAGTTTGAGGTGTTAGGACATACTGTTTTAGTATTTAGTATTAAAGTGTTTTATTATTTATTGAAATAAATAAATTTGTTTAAATATTAAATAACAAATATTAATTATTGTAGGTTTAGGAAAAGTGGTTGAATTATAAAAAAAATCATTAAAGATGCTGCGCCCTTCGGGCATAGATCGTGTATATAACGATCTGTATTTTACCTTGTGCAAAATGGATTTAGATTTCTTCAAAAAAGTAAGTACTAGTACAATTATATTATATATTAATTACATAATATTATATTATACCTCAATTACATTGACTTACTTACCATTACCAATTACATTAAAATATTTTGATATTTTGCCTCAAGGTAAATTTAACCTTAGAAATTGGTAGTGCCTGACATCATCCCTTAAGGCAAATAAAATATTTAACAGAGGTTTGAAATTTTTTGAAAACCGACAAATTTGGCTCGTTTTTACTTTTTTTATTGGATCTTAGCATAGACTTGACCTGTTTCTCCAAAAATCAATGTTTTTTGAATCATAGAAATTGGTCGCACGTTCTCTCAAAATCTGAATTATCATTTCTGGCACTTTTTGCCCCGATTTAATCAACAAGACTCCCCTTCAATACGAATCGAATGTTTTTTCGAAATCGTCGACGAAAATTTGTATCCGCACATCCCAGTAAACCATAAACGTTCAATTAAGTTGAAAATAACGTAGCACAAAAAAAACGTTCGCTGGTTACGTTAATAAAATGCAAATGTTGCGTAATAGGCCTCAACGTAGATACTTCCTTTTTTTTCATTACGTAACTGTTACGTTACATGGTTTCATAGATTTATCATACAAAATGGACAAATTGTTTTCTTTTTTCATTGAATCTCAGAAAAAACTAGACCTGTCTTTGCAAATATCAGTTCTTCATTTTGTCGATACAAATGGCAACGTTTTCTCAAAAACTGAATTGCCATTTTTTGCACTAACTGCCCCGAATAAAAATTATTCAACAAGTCTCTCCTTCAATACGAATCGAACATTTTTCATTCGTCGACCAAAATTTATATCCGCACATACATACACACATGCATATACATAAACACAAACACAACAATTTTTTTAAGTTATGCCAAAATGTTCAGAAGGTTTTGAAACGTGAAGTTATATAAATATTTCCATTTTTGATTTTTTGCGATTGCTAGAACTTACCCTACGGTAAGGGGGCGTCCATTAAACACGTGTTTGATTTTTAAAAGATTTTTGGGTTATGATATTTAAAATTAACCCCCTTTCCTCACCAAACAACACATGTATTAAATATTTCGGAAGAATGTTTCGAATTTATAAAAAAATCGTATTTTTTTTTGAAGATGCTTGGATTGAATTTGATTTTTTTGAAATTCAGGTAAAAAATAAATACACGTGATATCTTCCTAGGCCCCTCTCTCCCCTCACATGATGTTTTGTAATTTTTTGTCAAACACCCCGTCACCCTAGAAGTCTCACGTGATTAATGGACGCCTCCTGAGATAAAAATGTATGTGTGTAGGTATGTGCGGATATAAATTTTCTTCGTCGATTTTGAGAGCGCGGATGAACCGATTTGAATGATTGAAAAAATAATTGCTTCCTATTGGCAGGCAGATGTGCTGATTAGTTTTTGGCAAAGGCATTTTCGGAGATATGGAGCAAAAAGTGCAGAAAATAGAAATCGAGTTTTTGAGGCATTTGACTTGAATGATGCAAAAAACATTCGATTACTAATGTTAGGGAGATGTACTGATTAGTTTTGGCAAAGGCAGGTCCATCCGTAATAATTTAGAATTGAATTTTAATTCTGGCTAAAGTTCTAAAGCTCACTTATAGACTCTAAATAAACTTTATAATTCAGTTTATACAACTCTTATAAATATTTACAATGTGGCAGTATTTATAACAATATATTTGAAAACATTTAATAATCCTTGAACATTTCGTTATGGTACGGAAAATTCCAGCAATTTGCCTCAAGGCACGATGCCTTACACAACTAGTTTATTATTTTAAATAATAATGTAAATATTCATACTCTCTATTTTACTTACTGTTAGGAAAATTATATACGTATAAATCCCTGCCGTCATATTTATTATACAGCAACATTTTTCTACGTCCCTTATACACATTTTGTAATCAAATTATTTTCAAATTGTTTTCAAAAATCAATTTTCAATTATTCAAAACACATATGTCAATACATCTGAATTTGGCGCGTTTTGTGTCCGAACCTAACGTCATGTTGGTGCTCCTGAATCCTAAATGCCACCGCGAATGCCACTTCAGGCAAAACATAAGAAATTGATCGGACTGGAGACAAATTAATAATGTTTTACCTTAATGCGTATTTATGTTTATTATAAATGTGTTTATGTGATAAGTTTTAATGCAATGAGTTTTAAAAATGTTTTGGTGGTGACATTTTAGTGTGTGGCTGTTAAAATATGATGTGCAAAACGATACAAAAATAAATGTAAGTCTATCCGCCATTTTCAGACACATTATTGAGATAGCGTAAACATTCGTGAAATTGTACGATAAGTAGATATTTATCTGTTTTTGTCGTATTATGTCAAGATATTTAGTAGTAATATGTAATACTTTGATGCAGTAGTCATAATTCACTTATTTGCACACAAAACTGTTGTGTACTTTTCCACTTTACTTGTGGTTGCTTCCTAAAAATGTAAATATCTGACTTAGGCTTGTCTTTTACAGGACACATTGATAATAATATAAATCAACGTAAGCACAGAGAGTCTTCTAAAAGCTTATCTTTCATATTTTTAGTCACATTTAATATTGGGGCTTTTCACCTTTACTTACTGAAATTGTTCGATAAGCTGGTATTTATCTGTTTTTGTCGTATTAAGACACGATATTTAGTAGTAATATGTAATACTTTGAAGCAGAAGTCATAATTTACTTATTTGCACACAAAACTGTTGTGTACTTTTCCACTTTACTTGTGGTTGCTTCCTAAAGATGTAAATATCTGACTTAGTTTGTCTTTTACAGAACACATTGATAAAAATATAAATCAACATAAGAACAGAGAGTCTTCTAAGAGCTTATTATTCATATTTTTAGTCATATTTAATTTTGGGGCATTTCACCTTTACTTACACCAGTATTTATATGTATTAGATGTACAATTTACAATTTTCTAAGATAACAAGCAATCAATATACAATAAAGGTGTGCTAAAATTTATAATTAAGTCTTCGTTTAGACCATCTTCTAAAGTTGAGGTCCTATATATCCATCCACGGCCAATATACAAAATACAATGGAGTGCTAAAATATTGTTGTCGTGTTTTTATGAAACTTGGTATTAAGTCTTCGTTTAGAGCATCTTCTAAAGTTCAGGTCCTGTATATCCATCCACAACCAATATACAAAATACGGTGAAGAAATGCTAAAATAATTTTGTGTCTTGATTTTATGAAACTTGATATTAAGTCTTCATTTAGAGCATCTACAAAACTTGAGATCCTTAATATCCATCCACAACCAATATACAAAATACAATGAAGGAACACTCAAATAATTTTGTCTTGATTTTATGAAACTTGATATTAAGTCTTCGTTTAGAAAGTTGAAGTCCTGTATATCCATCCACAACTAATATACAAAATACAATGAAGGAACGCTAAAGTAATTTTGTGTCTTGATTTTATGAAACTTGATATTAAGTCTTTGTTTAGAGCATCTTTTAAAGTTGAGGTTGTGTATGTCCATCCACAACCAATATACAAAATACAATGAAGCAACGCTCAAATAATTTTGTGTCTTGATTTTTATGAAACTCGATATCAAGTCTTCGTTCAGACTGTTTAGAGCCTTCCAAAGTTGAGGTCCTGAATATCCATTGATTTGCAGGAATTTTTAAGAAGTTTAAAAGGTTTTCTGCAAAAAAAAACAGTATCAGAGATGAAGAAAAATGTTTCACTTAGTTATAGCCAAAAATGGCTGTATTTATAAGACACCACAAATAATTAGTAACAAGTAGTATTTATAAAATAGAGGGGACAGTTCTGTGGTATTTCAATTACTGGAAAAAGAGAATTTCAATTACTAGAAAACTAGAATTATATTTTTCCTGTCATACTCTAAATCTTGTTGACCTTTTTTCCATGAGCACAAGATCCTAACCTTACTTTGCATTTTTCTTCTAATCACCCTTTTGTTACATAAGAAATATATTATTTAAATTCAAATTCAAAAACTAATTATTACTACACAAGACTTATATAAACTTGTTAAAGGTATCTCATTAAAACTCTCTTCCTCATTTAATACTTTGCATTTACTGGGTATAATGCTATTCGACAAATTGCATTTAAGTATTATGGAAGTAGTAAATAAGAACTTTTCTAAATTACCTAATACATTTTTTTAAAGAACTTGTGTTCTACCTTAACCTAAATGAATGGTTATCCTTGCACTTTTTTTCTAATCACGCTTTTTTTCATAAAAAATCATTCCAACATGTTTAATTTAAATTCAATTCCAGAAACTAATTATAATGACACAAGACGTAAAGTTGTTAATGGTCCCACATTAAAAAAAAGGCTTTGAAAAGGTATTCGATAAACTGCCACTGAGTGTTAGAGCATTAGAAAATAAGAAGCTTTTTAAATCACCTAATAAAATTTTGAAAGAATCTTAGTTTTACCTAATCCTAAGTTTGTATTTTTCTCCTGATCACCTGTTGTTTTATAAAAAAATAATTCCAATCTGTTTAATTTAAATTCAAATCCTAAATGTAATTATTACAACTAAAAACATAAGCTTGTTAAGGGTTCCACATTAAAAAGGTATTCGATAAATTGCCATTGAGTATTAGAGAATAATGAAATAAGAAGTTTTTTAAATTACTTGATAGAATTTTGAAAGAACTTGTGTTCTACCTTATACTAACCTTTTCTTACATTTTTCTTCTAATTACTTTTTGTTTTATAAAAAATAACTCTAATGTGTTTGATATAAATTCAAATCCAAAAACTAATTATGACGACTAAGGACATCAACTTATTAAAGGTCCCAGTTTAAAAAAGGCTTCCTCGTTTAATACTTTAGGTGGACTGGATATAATGCTATTCGATAAATTGCTATTAAGTGTTAGAGAAGTAGTTTTCTAAATTGCCGAATTCATTTTTTAAAGATCTTGTGTTTTACCTTATATTAACTGTCCCTTACATTTTTCTCCTTATCACCTTTTGTTTCATAAAAAATAATTCCAATCTGTTTAATTTAAATTCAAATCTAAAAACTAATTATAATGGCACAAGGCATAAAGGTATTCGATAAGTTGCCTTTGAGTGTTAGGAAATAAGAAAGAGGAAATAAGAAGTTTTCTAAATTGACTCATACATTTTTTAAGGATCTTGTGTTTTCCTTATCCTAACTGTTCCTCATATCTTTCTCCTAACCACTCTTTGTTTCATAAGAAATAATTTCAATCTGTTTAATCTAAATTGAAACCCAAAAACTACTTATGATGACATAACCTAACCCATAAGACATAAACTTGTTAAAGGTTCCTCATTGCTCATTTAATACTTTAGATGGACTGGGTGTAATACTATTCAATAAATTACCATAAGCCACTAATTTACTTAATAACGTTTTCCAAGAATTTGTTTTTTACACAATCGAGGAAGATTTGGAATAAATCTTCTCTGACACTATTATTCCAGGTTTACGTCATAGCTAAGATTTTGTTTTATATTTAATTAAAAAATAAACTTTGAATTTTGTTATATACGAGTATATGGCACAGTAAATAGACATTTTTATACATTCATTCGTTAATTTTTTTTTTTTTTATTCATAATCATGAATATATTATATTCTAATATTGTCTAGGCTCATAAGTGAATTGAAATTTTTGGCAGATGACAGTTTTCATTTGTGTTCTATGCCAAACAATGTCTCAAATATATTCAATGTCGTTTAATGCAATTTTTTCCATTTATTTCTACCATATTACTATATTTTTATAATCACATACATTCTACAAAATTTCCTTAACAAACTTCAGAAAGATTTATCAAAACCCAAATAATTGTTCAGGAGGAATATCTTTATATACATCATTACAGAAATATTCTATTTATAAGATATGTTAATTGAATTTATTAATCTATGTGATAAAATAATTACTCTCAATTTGATTTTTATTCTAGATGGAAGTCTGCGAAAATGAGTCCACAGACAGTGTGGAAAGGAAAGAGGATCCGAAAAAGCCAGAAGTGCTCTGGCTAGCAAGTTTTCTAAAATCGCTACAACAAAGCATAGACTCCCCTGAAATATGGAGGTTTGATAAATCTATCAAAGAATTTTGCAGTTACCTGAGAAACGAAATACCAGCAAATATCTCTGGAGGGTTAAAAGTTCGTTCATTTTTTATTATGAAACATGTTCAATACTGTCTGTGCTTCTATTCGAATCTGTATCAAGATGCAGCAGAGGTATGTAATAATAATTTTATAAAATGTTAATCAGAATATACAATAAATTATGTCAGCTGGTTTTTTATGAAGGGAAGAAAATATATATGTGTTTAGCACTTTGTATATTTCTATTGGGGTTCGGTTTAAATTCACTTATATGCAATACTTAAATTAATAGATTCTGCTGCTCAGTTTTTAACATTTATTTGATATGATCCTTATAAAAACCTAATAATTACAGGCAACGTCCATACAATGCGGAAATGAAACTTCTTAAACACATATTTTTTTATTGTAGGAAACGTAGGACTAGTATAAAAATAGGGATTAGGTTAAAAATTTAGAATAAAAATAAATATATACATATAACTTCTCCTAGGGTAAGTTATAATAATAGCAAAAAAATTGAAAAAAAAAAGAGTGCGCGTAATGCGATTGAAGTAAAACTTATTTGCTACTATACAAAGTAGCAAATTCAAGTTAAGTAAAAATAAATACATCACATAACTTTGAATGATGTTTATTAGTAATATGGTAACACTCGTTATGTACACATTTATTAGTGTCGAGCATTATACACATTTATATAATGATGAATTATAAATTATATATTTATGATAGCATTAAAAATATGTATAATATTTAAAAACAATAATGTAATTAAAGTCATACTTCAAATATGACACGATCGGTTTGTCATTGTAATAAGCAGTTTAACAACTTCTAAACAAATATTGTTTTCACAACTTGACATCATGTAATAATTGTGTTTGAAGAACTTCATGTAATTAAAATTAACATACATTCATTAACTGTTTGTATTTTTTTTTACTTTTTTGCTTGCGATATAATCTCATTCTTTGAACAGTTGTAATATCTTGTCTTGCCCAAAAAATATTTTGCATTTTAATAACTTCAAAGATTTATAGAAACTACGAATAATATAGAAATAATTTCTAATCAATAAACTTACGTTTAGTACAAGGCACAAATGTTTAATTTGTTTTATTATTTTTAAGGAACAGGGTAAAATATTTCTCATAGAAGAAACAAACCTTCATTAGAGAAATAAAGTAATTGCTGATTAATAACTTTTATAATATTCGTTCACACAGTGGATTATGTTAAACAACGCCTAAACAAATATTATTTTTGCAAATTAACTCATCCTGTAACAATTGTGTTTGAAGAACATCATGTAGTTTAGGTAGATACTTTGGTATAGGTGGAAATACAAACCCGTTGAATTTACACAAAGTGGGAATTTTACTCGAATTTAATAAGGCCTTAGGGCACGATGCCATGCATACCACTCTAGTTCTTATTCTATTATCATTATGATTATTATTTCTAGGTATTGGATGAGGCGGTTTACAATGTCAGGATGATGGAACTGCTTCCACTGTATTTTGATTTAGAATTGGTAGCTCATGGTGCAACTCAAATGTCGGATGAGGATTCAGCTGAAAGAATAGCAACGATATTGAATATATATCTCCAAAGGAATAAATTGCAAGCTAGTGAGATGCTGTTACATATGACAACGTATTGGTCGCCGCCGCAGTTCGAGAGAATAAAAGACTTACTAGTTTTTTTGTTTAAGTAAGTAACATTTAACATTTATAAGAATTTTTTATTTCAGTTCAAATTTGAATACATTTTTTAAGCATCATGTACATCTATCAAATTGATAATAATGCATTAAATTAAATTATATTTGTACATTCTATACATATTACACATATATACATTCAAAAATTTCAAAATAAACTATCTTTTTCAAGTCTTGGTAAAAAATATTAAAAAAAAGACCAACTCACAAAAAGACCAACTGATTTAAGTAAGTATGACTTTGAAAATGTATAAGGTAAAAAGGTCCATCATCATAGTCTATAATGGTATTTTTTAATGATACTATTTTAAAGTATAAGGGGCAAAAGATGAGCAACCATTCTATGGTCTTAAATTGGGCGTATTTAAGGGGGGAGCTTGCTTTAGAGGCTTCAAAAAATCTATTTTATTTAAAAAAATGTCTTCTAAAACTAGCCAAGAATATATCTCTAAAATTTCATAGACAAATTCAAATTATTTTCGGAATTACAGAAGAAATAGTGAGCAAGCGTCAATTTCTCGGTTTTTAATTTTTTTCGATTCCTCCCAATTGGCGGAAAAGATAGGAAAAATAATAATCGTCCTATCGAAACGAGACAAAATTCATTATTAAGGATTAAATTCTATTCTAGTTGAACCTAAATAACCTTAAAAAAAAGTTATAATTCACCCACTTTTTAAACAATATACAGTGAAATTTCGTATAATTTTTTTTTTTTTTTTTCAAGTTGCGAAAAATCGGTAAATTTCTCATTTTTTCTAGATTTTTTAAGTTCAACTAGAATCTACACTATTGAATATATATTTGTTTTAATTTTTTATTCCGGATGGAAATTGTGACCTGCATCTTTTCCGCTTGTGGTGCATCAGCAAAACGCTTGTACCCGACATATTATTAAATATATTTTAATGAAAAAATTTGAGAAGAATGTTGAAATATATAGCAATAAATCCTGTAAGTTTCGTTTCTATTAAACATTTATTTCCTGCTCTAACATTTTTTCAAAAAATGCGATTTTATGAAGCCTCTAAAGCAGGCTCCCCCCTTAAGGTAACAATGTCTATCATCATTGCCTGAATGGTATTTTTAATAATACTATTTTAAAGTAAGGGGCAAAAGATGAATTAACATTCTATTATCTTAAATTGGGTGTAATTAATGCAAGTATTTTTTTATGATAGTTTTCTTATTTTGAGCACTGTAATTTAGATTAGGATACAAGATTTAAGTATACTTTATTGAATTGTTTTATAAGATGTATTATTAATTTTAAGTTAGATTCAACAGTTTTTTTCTTCATATAACTGCTATAAAAGATAATGTGTGGTTGATATAAAAAGAACCACTTAGATGTTAACTAAGAAAAATATTAATAAAAATGTAAAATAAGTTGAAAAAAGTAATTTAACAGATAGATTTTATTAATAGTAACTCTGATTATGTATTTTTCCTACAAAGGTTTTTTGCAGTAAAAAGTGTGCTCATATAATATGTATTTCAACAATTTTTAGATTTATTTTCTGACCTAATTAAACACACACACAATAAATAGTTGGTCTTATTTGATTCAAAATGGCTTAAAACGTCAAAAACATAAAATTAGCAAAACCGATTTTTTCGCGAAAACATAAACTTCTTCTCTGAGAATAGTGACCTTTTTTAACCCTAGCTGACCCTTTTTACCCTGCCTATGGGGTTAAAAAACGACCAGATAACCTTTTAGAAAAATACCAAAAAAAAAAACATTTCTACAATGAAAAATTACTTTGAATTTTTATAAAAACATAGTTTAATCATTGATGGTTTATAATATATCATCATATATTAATTTTTGTTAATAATTAATTAACTATTAATTTCATTCACCAGGAAACTACTAAACCATAAAGTAGAGCCAGAAAACGATGTCGAGTACATACAATATATACTATTATATAGACTTTGGATGATAATAGCCAAAGAAGGCAAGGAAATCATGGACATTCAAAGGCACTGTATTTCTCATTTATCTTTTCCAAACAATCTACGAATAACCAGGTCAATGACTCAGATATTTCCACCTGGAACACCTTTAAAATCCATACAATCTATGCTCATAGTTGACATTGACGTGTTTCCTGTGACTCAGGTGATAAATATAACTCATCATACCTATTTTTTTTTACAAATTTCAAGAGAAACCTTGAAACATTATAAAAATTATATAGGATTAAATTAAATTAGAGTTTTTATACTTCTTAAAGAACTAGTCTTGAATTAATAAAATATTTCTTTGTAAATATAAGAGATGTTTGTTTAATCTATGCTTGCATTTTATTAAATTAAATTATTGAAATTTGCAATTAAATTATATTTTCATTGTTTATTATTGTTGGATAAATTTGTTTTCTTTAGGTGAGAAATATAACACAATCTCTCACTTTAATTAAATTTTAATATTTAAAATTAATCTAATTTTTTTTTATTCTAGGCCTTTTTAAAACACATGATAACACTGAGAAATAATAGTATATTGGGAATTGATTTGAATTCGGATCTGCTTATACCGATTGGAAATGCAGAGGAAAATGATGTGCAGTTGGATTCACTTGAAACTTGTTTTGAAGAATATGTGAATAATATTGCTGAAAATTTCAAACACTCGTCAGAGGTGAGTTGTGTATATTAAATATGATGGAAAATGTGGATGGAACTTAATTGGAAATTATGTAGTTTTTTTTAGGCTCATGTATGTGTACAACAAATATTATTTTATTGTTGTACATTAAATTTTTTACTTGATGACTAAAAGATTTCATAAAGTACATCAATTTTTTTCCAGAAGTAATTGTGTTAAGATAGTATTCAAAGCATGTTTTAAATGTATACTTTTGTGAACAAATATTTTTTTCATTTTTGATATTAAAAAAAATGCTTTGTATAATATGTAAAAATTAGTTATTATTAATAGTAAAAAAAATAGATAAAACAATGAATGTAGATAGATATTTTTTTAATTTTATTAAGAGATTTATTTTCTCTTCCTTTTCATGTTGGATTTAATAAATTATGTTACTATTTCTTATTATTATTTCAGATGCAAGATTCCATGAGTGATTTGATGAACCGCCTATTGGCCAATACTTCCCTGGATGCATTATCAAGTGGTGTCCAAACAATAGACAAACAAAGCAAACAGAGGCACTTGAAATCATCTCAAAGACGTGAAAGAGCAGAAGCGAGGAGGAGGCAAGCTGAACTTGAACAAAGACGCATCCGAGAGCAAGCTGAACAACAACAATTGGCCATGCAACAGCAAATTGCTCTAATGTTTGAAAGATCCCAACAACATTCTTATTTTTCCATGAGCAATCCATTGAGTACAATAATCAAATCTGATGAAGTCATTTGTTTATCAGACACGGATGAGGATGAAGAAAATAAACCTGTAGTTTCTAATTTACCAACAAATGTTGCTCCAAACATTAATCCTTCCTCATTTTTTGATATGTCTGAAAATAGTCCGCTGCGCCAATTTGTAGTTGACATTATAAATAATACTACATCGACGTTTATCACTGAAACTAAGAAACAACTTGGAATTTTAGCACTTTCAGAACAATTCTTTAACAGATGTTTAGAACCTAATAATATTGTTCGAACTGAAGATATTGCTAATAAACTTTTACCAAACTTTGATAAAGTTCTGACAAGTGTAGTGCAAAAAGTTGTTGAAAAAACTACTAACAAGAATATAGAACAAACGCCTGTGGAGGGTGTTAGTCAAACATCTGTTAGTAATGAACCTGCTCCTTCTCCAAGTAAAGCATCCACTAGTAACAATACAAGTGTAGTACTTGACAAAAAATGTGATAGCAATTCCTCAACTGAACGTGATAATAGTATTTCTGTAAGTTCAAGTGACTTAAATAAATCACCTGCTAAAACGTGTGTTTCATCTACTCAGGAGGCCAGTATCAATACTGCCGCAGAAACATCACCATCTGAAGTAGTTACATCAAAAACTAATGAAGAATCAACAGCCAACAAAGTTGCTAATGATAATAATACAAGTTTGTCTCAGGAAGAGATGTCCATGAATACTGAGAACCGTCAGGAAGACCAAACTGGTTTAAATTCAATGTTGACAGTTGATACTGAGCTCCAGCAAAACAGTTATCCTGTTGATGAAAGTTTTGTTGCAGATTCATCACAAATCACACCTGTTACTTTAGAAAGTAGCAAGCCTACAATAACTACACCTGAATTGATAAACACATGCATGTCTATATTGTCCAAAGATCAAACGAGTAAATCTACTGCATTAGTTACTACCACACAAGCATCACAGCAACTGCAATCAAGCTTGCTTTTGCCCGCTGTGACAAATGAAGTAATAAGTGAATCTGCAGCTTCAAGTAATTTACCATTATTACCTGATGAAAGCGAACCAGCAGCTGATATTGGTAGAAGTGCTAGTGATAATTTCAATGATAGCTACAACGTCATGAACCAAAATGAAAACGTTCCAGAAAACAACAGTTCTACTAATAATGATTCTAATATTAGTTTACCCCGAATTGTTGATTGTTATAGTTTAAAGTCATTAGAAATTGATCCTAATGAAAGCACAACGCTTCAAGAAGATGTCACTTTAAATGTGTCACCGTCACCTAAAACCTACATAGATAAAGGCAAAGAAGCAAAAAGGAGTTGGCGGGAAAATAAAACTCACAGCGACAAACGGAATAAATCACTGTCGCCTTTGAAGAAAGTATCTTTTCCTGATCTGGAAACTACTGATCATCAATCTCAGCCTGTAGTTCGTCGCCGAAATAGTTTTATGACTCCTGCTCAACTAAAATATATGTCTAGTGATGCTGAAATTAGTAGGAATGACAGTGATATGGAAATTGATGATACCTTTCCAACACGCGATACGTATTTTCATCATGAAGATTCAACCGATTCAGGTAAACATAAAGACTCAGTTGGTAAACTAAATACGGAAGAAAACACTAGACACAATGACGATATCACACAAAATTTAAATTATGATAATATTTTATCACCAATAAGTCCTATGCCTGAAATTCCAGAGGTCACCAAGTCCATTTTGAAACGTAGAACAGTAAAAAAGACTTCTCCGAAAAGCCGCGACATGTCTTCTATACACGTAGCTGAAAAATCTATTTTAAAAAGTTCTAAGAATCAAAAAGGTAAATCCAATCTTTACTTACTAAAACGCAGCGAGAGTCCGAGCAGCCAGGATGTGAAAAACAGGCACGTGCCAGTCGCAAATGTGACACCACAATATAAACAAGTTCATTTTCTAAGTGAAATGCATGATAATTCTAACAATAGCAGGAAGATGCAGGTTCCAAAGGAGGAGAAATCTTCAGATATTCAGTTTCGTTTGACTTTTTACAAACCGGAAAATTCTCCAAGTTCTTCTAAGAACAGGTTTGCGGCGAAACGAAGAGACAGTCAACAATCAACAACTCCATGTCTGCAATCAACATCAACAATGAACAGATCGGTGTCGCCGGCGCAAAGCAGTCGAAACTCATCAACAGGTATGAATAAATTAAGTTCGGTTAATGCTCAACGCGAAACAATTTCTTGTGATAAGTATGATCCCTTGGAGTTATTCTCTGACACTGCCTTGCTGGTGGGCGACGAGCCATGCCAACAAGTGCAGTTAGCCAATGCTACACCCGACCCCGCTTTAGGTTTTACTGATATTTACGATTCTGGTAATTTATTAACAAATAACAGTCAAGATTCAGGCAACGCCACGTTGTCGTTTGACTCGAATAATCAGGATAATTCCCTTGGGATAAACGATTGCGAATCCCCGTCCACAAGTGGAGAAACTTACACCTACGATGATAATTTACCTATAGATGCACGTACCAAGTGGTTGAGTTGTAAAGTCGAACCACCAGCTTTTTCTCCAGCCAGTCCTGCGCAATCCGATTTCGATGAGCAGAATGCTGAGGGTGGAAACGGCGAACAGCAGACTTCTTTACCTTTCAAAAAACGTAGGAAATTATCTGTTTTTCAGCCTTCCGAAGAAATTAAGACAGAACCGGTTGTCGCAGGTCCAGTGGAAGATGTTTCGTATCCGGCTACGCCCATGATGAGCATTGCTGAAGTTAAACTTCTACAAAGCATCCAACAGTTACAGGAAGGCAACAAACGTGGTTTATTCAAAACTCCTGGTCAGTTAAAATTTGGTCCGGGCCCTAGTACGCAGTTTAACAATTGCCAATACACGAGCAATAACCAAGGAAATAATATGTCCAATTTTCAGATAAACTCCCAAGTACCCGTAGTGAACAATATTTCTTTTAACACGAACCAAAATATTAACAACAATTTTGGGAGCGATATAAGTGGCGCAGGGTGCTTGAACTCTCTTCAAGGGGGCGCGGGCGGAGCCCTATCCCAATTCGATCTTAATCAAACTATGATAAACTTAAGCAACTATCATTTGAGTCAACAACACCTGACGAATTTTTTATTGAATAGCATTCACATGCCGCAAAATAACGGCTCGATTGTTCCGACTTCGTCGGATCAAATCAAACCTTCTCGTAAAGTCCAGATAAGAAAATGTTCGGATTGCAAACGTGTCAATTGTTCATGTTTTGCAGAAAGTGATTCGGATGATGGAATTGTTGAAGGGAATACTAAAAAGTCACAGAAAAAGTCTCGACGTCCCACCACAGACAGGGTTACTAGAAGTAGTAATAGAACTGTTGCAAAAAATTATAAGGAACCTGATGATAATAAAAAGCGTCGAAAATCGGGTGTAGCAAAGCGGGCTAAGTTTGAAAATTAACTTAAAAAATTGATCATACTTGTTTTATGATATTCATTTTCCTCATTTAATTAATATAGTTTTTATCATATTTATATATAAGCTAAATGCTTTTTGCTGAGTGTATCTATATATGCTGGTTTATATATGTATACATGGTATTTTATATATGTTTGCGTGTGTACAGAAAGAGTTTCAAAGATATTATTTTGCAAACAAAAACAAAAAATCATATTGGAAAATACACAACACAATTAAAACATATATTTTGGCAACACATCACTTATGAAATTTGTGCGGGACTTTTAAGCTCTTTTGTACGTGCGTGTGTTTTATACGTGTACACCCATAAAAAAGACCTTTAGGTTTAAATGTCGCGAAATTTCTCAAAACAAAAAATGTTTGCACGAATATGATCTTCAATCAACACTTGATCTGCAATCAACAACCAAGGACCGAACATCACCAATTCAACAATCAACATTTATGTTAATTAACGACGGTTTAAACTTTTTTAGTATTTTATTTATTTTGCCGGATAATAGTAACATTAATATCAATTTGGGGTGCAATTATTCGAATCAGTTTCGAAATTGTTTATAAAAAATTTCGGTATTTATAATTTGTTTCTCGCTAAACGAATCTACAGGACGACTTTGGCAAGATTTTATGCTAGCCGATTTTGGTGCAGGTAACGGATGTTTTTCTTTTTGTTCATTAAATTAATAGTCTTATCATTTGGTGTAAAAAATATTTTTAAACGGGTAATGATTGTTGTTAAAATATAAAAGTAATATCGGTGTTATAAAGAAAACATAAATGCTGACTGATGAAGTGTGATCTTCGGTTTTGTATTTATTGCGGCACTAATGATGGTACTTGTCGAAACGTTTTACCAAAGTATGGTAATTAGTTAGCGATTCCTAACTAAATTTTATTTGTCCAGTCTTTATCGTGCTATAGATATAATAACGCGGTGATTTTTATAATTTAACAACAATCATTGCATGTTTTGTGATAAAAATACTGTGATATTAGCTATTTTACTGTTTATCATACTAACCCAATGGTCTTATCTATATACTTTAGGAATATGCTAGTCAAAAAATTTATATATATATATATATATATATATATATATATATTGTTCCACTTTGAAACATATTTTTGTTTTTTTTTCAGACGAAGAATTTAAAAAAGGTAAATATTTAAACTATTTATTTTTTACGTTTCGACACTGTATGTATTTCATCATTCATTAAGTTTATACCAGGGAAAACACACATTGTCTTGTAATAAAACAAGAACGCAATATGCAATTTACATCATTAATCATGTGATTAACAATCATTTTATTATTAACATCCAATAAGATAAGTGTTTGTGTGGATACAATTTTGGTCCACGGGTGACCGAATGGTATAATTGATTATTATACCATTATTATATAATTTAGATTCATATTGTTTAGGAGGAGTCTTGTTGAATAGTTTCTGGCGAAGGTAGGTCCAGCCGTTTCGAAGATACGGCACAAAAAGTGCAAAGCATGGCTATACGGTTTTTGAGAGAACTGAGCGTTCGATTTGAATGATTCAAAAAAGCATTTGATTACCTTCTGGCAGGTTCAGCGGTCACTTGGCGGTCAAAAACGACCGCGTTTGCTCTGAACGAAGTTCAAAATTTTCTAGAAATTTAAAATATAAAAAAAAACGATAGTCAAATTTTCACAAAAATTTCATAAATCTATTTTTTAAAAAATTAATTTTTGGTACCAGATATTGAACCAATTTATTTATTTATTAACTTCTCTTATTATTAACTTATAGGGTAAGTTATAGTAATTGCAAAAAAATCGAAAATGAAAATTTTTATATATCTTTACGTTTCAAAGATTTTTGAACATTTTGGCATACCTTAGAAAAAATGGATGTATGTGTGTGTTTTTTTTGTATAGCGAAGGAAATGCTTTTATGCACCCCAGACTGGTGTTTTGTCTGGGTATGTCGGCCTCAATATGTATGTGTATGTATGTATGAGCGGATACAAATTTTTGTCGACGATTTCGGGAACACCGATCAACCGATTGAATAGTTCAAAAAACATTTGATTCGCATTGATAAGGAGACGTGCTGATTAGTTTTTGGCGAAGGCAGGTTTAGCCGTTCCGAAGATACGGGGCAAAAACTGCCAAAAACGGTAACTCAGTTTTTAAGAGAACAACGGAGCGTTCGATTTCATTAATTCAAAAAACATTTTACTTGTATTGCCGAAATGAACAACTGGTAAAATTTTTGGAAAGGCAGATCCAGCGGTTATGGACTCTCAATAAAAATGAGTTAAACACTTATCATTTGGCAGTCAAAAATGTTTATTATACATATGTGCATCAAATTTTCAAATATTTTATGGAGATTTAAATAATGTGTACACATTTTGTGTAAGTTTTTTTGGTTTCTGTACCAAAATTTTTTGATTACAGAACGGAAAGTTCCAGCAATTTGCACCCCCCTAGTTTTCATTTTTATTTCAAATTTTGAGTTTTTTTATTTTATACATACTGATTCACATACAGTGTCTTCGAAACGTGGAAAATAAATAGTTTAAGTATTTATCCTTTTTTATTTGTACAATTTTTTGTCTGAAAAAAACATTATAAATTTTTCTAAGTCGAATAAAAAAATTATATAATTTTCTTAATTAATTTTTAATATACAAATAACATTAATATGAAAATACAGTAGCATTCTTCTGATTACTTCATGCCGTAATGCGTGTATGACGAAATTTGATTATTTTAAAATATTTACAATGTCGCGCGTATGGAAGCTTTCTTTCGTTTAGGGTTACACTACACTATTTTTAGCTTTAATTTTCTATGTACTAATTTGATTATTTTTAGTTCGTAGTCCCGATTCTTCTTCCGCTGCTAGCCGCTGCGGTTTTTACGATGATGATGCGTCCGTCCATAGCGGCAAATCGAACGTGAGTGTGACCAATGCCATGATGTCCTTCGCCAGCCGATGCATTTCTGGCGAGCACATACCCAGTTCGACCCTCAAGAACATCGTCATGCTGGCGGTTGCTGAGGATTCGACGCCTCCTCCGGCCCACGTGCGCAGCTACCGGCGGTCCTACGGCAGAAGATACGGTCAGGTAAACGCCAACAGGGAAGATATTTACGGACGTAGGTTATCACAACGATCGATGTCGTGCGATTCGCGCTTCGATGACGAACCGTCACAAATTATTCAAAGATCTCGTAGTGCGTCCGCGACGCGCACTAAAGACGAAAAGCCGGTGAGCAATCGCGGCAGGCCGAGCTCTCGCGGACGACCCCCCAAAACATCACCCATTCGTAATTATAATAATACGGTTAAGCGTAGAACACGTACACGAACCCCCGCGCCCACGTTACCAGAGATTAACCCTAAAATGTTTTTGTATATTGCTCCTTTTTGCGATAAAGTAGGTACGCAGACGAAAGTTTCTTTTTATGTAGACAATCCAGAGGTCAATTACTCTGAATTGTACAACGTAGGTAACGCGGAAAATCCAGTTGTTGTTTTAGAAAACATTTGGGACAAGGTGCCTGCGGATGCGATATCTAGATTCCAAGGGTCATCTGAAAGTTCACTAACGAAACCAAAACGACCTACACGCGCCACGACTCCTCGACGTGCCAATTTGTCACTGAAAAGAAGAGGTAGGCGAAAAAGAACGGAATCAGAGGCATGGTTGACTCCTAAACCGACATTTGATGATACACCAGCAGCTGTGGAGCCCAAAGTGATAAATTTCAACGAAGAAGAAAGATATGCTGCAGACTTGTCAGAAGAGGCTTTGTCTTCGCCGCCAAGGCAAAGAACGAGTCAGTTGTTGCGCAAACGGCCTGCAGAAAAGGCAACGATAGACGCAACAGTCGTCAATACAACCACTCAACCGTTTAAGCAGAGAACATATTTAACACCCAACAAAGGAACGGACGAAGAACCATATATGCAGTCTGACAGCGATGACAGTGACCTCACTAACAAATCACTGAAAGTCGAAAATAAATTCTTAGGAGTGCAAGAGGAGGAAATGCGTCGCTCGTTTGAGAACTTCTTCTCGGAGTTCAAAAGAAGAGATTCGGATGCGACTGCAGATTCAGAAACTGACAAACAGACAATGAATTCAAAAGATAGCAGCGATTATCCGAATACGCAGGATGATATGATTAACAGAATCACAAGGATTGATAGAATTATGGGATCTAGGAGATTGAGAAGACGGGCAACGAGAACCAGAAGTTTACCTCCATCATCTTATAGACCGTTTGCTAAGCATATTGTAGGTGATGAGGTTGATGATACTAGTTGTACAACATTCGGAGAAACCTCTCAAGACGAAGACGACACAACGTCGTCTAGTGAATCTTCGCGTGTCAGTAATTCACCGTCATCGGCAACTCGTTGTTCATATTCCGCGGACAGTTCGCCATGTAAAGAGTCGGTGGAAGACACTATAAAGCGGTTAGGTCCTGCGGATATTTTGCGAATGGTAACTGGTAGCACTGTGCCTTCTAGAGTTATCACGCCCTCAATAGAAAGGGATCTAGAAATCGATATTGAGCCGGCTCGAACCATCGTTCCAAGCGTTGAAGAAAAATCTTATGGCAATTTGAGCACATCATCAATACAAAATAATAAAAAGAGCTTGCTTGAAACAACCGATCATCAAGATGCAAAACAAAGTTTACCAGACACTCCTATTTGTAACAAATCAGATGATACAAAACAAAATTTACCAAACACTATTGATATTTGTAATAAACCAGTAGCAGCCATTAATGCGCAAAAGGAAATCACACCCGTCCAGTCTGATGATGATCCTGAAAGGTTGATTATTGACGAATCGGTGCGTGAAAAGAGGGCTATACGGTTGACTAAAAAAGGAGCTAGTTATAAAAAATCTATCAGGGGCAGGAAAGCGACAGTTGCCAGTGCAAATGATAAAAAAATTAATATTGAAAACAAAGTAGTGTCAACAGTTCTCGCATGTGACTCGCAAATAGAAACAAAGACAAATGAAACGGAAGAACCACCAAATAAAATTTTAAGTGAAAATGTTTTTGCAAAAACACCAGAGGTTGAAGAAAAACTTGCGGATAAAAAAATTGAACCGTTGGATGACAAATTAGTTAATACTGTGAAGAAAGAGGAATTGAAAGAAGAATTAAAAGAAACGCCGATGCAAATCGACTTAGTCAAGGAACCTGAAAACAAGGTTGATACAGGTAAAATTTCGGATAACACAATGCAAAAAGCTGAACCGATTGAACCAACATCACAATCATCGTCAGAAATTAGAGATGAGAAACCTAATAAGGAGAAAGATCTGGAGAGTGGAGATGAAAAACTCAATAAGGAGAAAGTTCTGGAGAGTGGAAATGAAAAACTCAATAAGGAGAAAGTTCTGGAGAGTGGAAATGAAAAACTCAATAAGGAGAAAGCTCCAGAGATCAGAGATGAAAAAACTGATAAGCAGAAAGCTCCAGAGATTGGAGATGAAATATCTGATAAGCAGAAAGCTCCAGAGACTGGAGATGAAAAACCTAATAAGCAGAAAGCTCCAAAGACTGGAGATGAAAAAATTAATAAGCAGAACGCTCCAGAGAGTGGAGATGAAAAACCTAATAAGCAGAAAGCTCCAGAGAGCGCAAATGAAAAAACTAATAACAAGAAAGCTCTAGAAAGTGGAGTTGAAAAGCAGAAGGCGCCAGAAAGTACAGATAAAAAGCCTGATAAGGTGAAAAGCTCATCATCATCAGATGATGATGCCAAAACCTCATCAGACAATGATTCTAAATCAATGAAACGACAAATTGCTGATTTGCAATCAGCAGCTCTGATTCTAGATCATTGGCGTGCAGGTGATAAAATTGCTGAGCGCAAATTGAACAATTCTAGATCAGTCGCTAGTATTGTAGAAACTGCACCACCTGTTATTGCCAAAAAGTCGACAGTCGTCGATTTACCGGTGGAAAAAATATTTTACACGGCTTCTAGAAAGGATTATAGCAAGGCAGACGCAGAGAGAGATCTGTTCAAAATTGTGCAGAAAGATGAACCAAAAAATAAAACCAATGAAGATCTTTTTGATGTTTCGAAAACTGCAAAAGCTCCTGAGGCAGGCAATCGTAAATCCGATGTCGTAGCTGAAAAAGAAAAAGTTTTGTGTGAGAATCAACCACAAAAGGATGAAGATTTGGATAAATCTGGTAAAGAAGCGATGCAGGTCAAGGAATTGCCAATTAATGATACACAAAGTCATGACACAAGTGTAACTTCAGATACGGATACTCCGAATTTATACCAAGTGTCAACTTTTCTTGATATTACCAGCACACCCAATAAAGCAGCCGATGAACCTTCTCAAAATGTTACAAATGATCAACCACAACTTGCAGCAGCTAAGAAAATTGATTTCCAAGATAATAAGATTGCAGAAACAACAAAAGTTGATGTATTTGACGTGAAGAAGAAAAGTAACATGAAAGGAAAGGATAGTAGTTTGAAAAATAAAGAAAAGCCTAATAAAATTTTGTATGTGGTACGAGGAAATGCGGTGCAAAATACGAACATAACACCCACTAAAACTAAAATGACGACATTAAAGACGTTCCTTCAATTGACAATGCTACACAAATTGTGAACCACTTGGAAAACCACATAGACGATACCATTGATAAAGAAATAGAAGTAAAGCCTGCGAATCAAAAAATAGTTGAGCAAAAATTACCTGAAATCAAATCCTTTAATAATAAAAATGATATTGAATGTACAGAATCTAATAAAACCATTACCTCATCTAAACAAAATATTGCGAAAAGAATTACAAGGTCAAATGTGGTGGAGGAAAAGTTGGATCAACCACCAGGTAATAAAACTGAGTTGCCCAAAGAAATATCAAATTCCATTGAAGAACCAAAAGATTCTAAAAACGATCAGACAGATAGTATGGTAAGCGATATTTCAGATACTATTTCTAGTACTATTATAATTCCTGATAAAATAATTGAATGCGACATGGAAACAATTCAGGTTGTTGGAGCTGTCGAAGAAGTTCACACGGATGGATCAGAGGACAAAACCGAAGAAGTCGGAGAAATGGTTAGTGAAATCAAACCAGAAGTTATTAGTAAAAGTAGAAAACGCAAGGAAGTTGCAAAGAAGGATAAAAAATCTGCAAGGAAGAAGGAATCGAAATCTAGTAAGAACATAAAATCTTTGGAGGTAATCGATGATAAAAAAGCACCTGCGGTTGAGGATAAACCTAAACGCGATAGAAGTAAATCCAAAGCCACGCAAGATAAAGTTTCTGAAATTGTTTCTGAAACTACGCCTACAACTGAAACAAAGCAAGAGAGTAGTGAAAATTTGAAAAAATCATCACGTTCAGCATCTCGGGATCCAAAAAATGCACAAGTTGATGGTGATAGCTCTTTGAAGAAGACTAAAGTTAAACAAATGCCCGGTTTGATGCCCATTGGAGCAGCAAATCCTATTAATGATTCAAAGTTTAAGACGAAAACAAAAGAATTGTTGATGAATTCTGAAACAGATGTCTCAAAAATTGACAGGCACCTCAAAAAATCTAGTAATTTGTTACAAACTAAAGCTGATAAAGTTAATGAAACACCAAAAAGTGATGTACAAACTGCTAAGGATTTGGAAAATTTATTAGCAGATGACTCAAAAGTTGATAAGAAAACTAATACAAAACGCAGTAGATCAGAATCTGTGAAGTCTAAGGAATCTCTAAAAACTCAAACAAACGCTGCTGTCAAGCATCAAACAGATGATAAAATCAAGGATCAAGTCAAACCAGCTAATTTTGGAGTTAGAAAAAATAGTTATGGAGAGTTGGGTGCTGGTATTAAAACGCCTGGTCAACTCAAATATATTCCACCACTTGCTGCAGATGCAAATGCCGAAGACAAACTGTGGCATAAAACAGGAGATATTTCAGGAAACAATAATATTGGGTATAAAAAAATGGAGAATTTTAAAATCCCTAAAAGAAAAGCCAGTGTGGTAGTCGTTGACGAGGAGCTGAATTTGACGCAGGACAACAAGGTTTCTGAGAGCGAAAATCAAATTGTTTTGGTTAAAGAAAAAAAGCAAACCAAAAAAAGTGTAGCGTCTAAAGTTGTAATGGAGGAACCAAAAGATTTAAGTGAGACATACGTTGTCAGTTCTACGACCATCGATAATGACAATATTGTTTTGAGGTCGCGAAATGTAGCCACACGTAGTACACCAAAAGTGTTTTTGGTCGAGGAATATGCAGCGAAAGCAGCGGCTATTCCTGTTTTGCCAAAATTATCACGCCGGAAAAATCTTACAGTTGGGGTTGATAGGTTATCGGAAGATATTGTGCAACAAAAACTCAATAAGGTTGTTCCAAAAGTATCGAAACGTAAAAATAATTCAAAGCCTGCAGCAGTACCGGAAAAGAAACCGAAGGCTTCGGCTAAGAAGACTAAAGTAGTTGATGTTAAAGTTAAAGAGCCGGTTGTTAAAAAGCGTTCGCCGCCTAAAAAAAAGTCACCTGCCGCCAAAGGCACTACCAACAAAAGACGTTTAGGCATGGCAGTTGTCATCAATAATACTGCCAAAAAGCGAAAAACCGACACAGATATCTTACTAGACCAGATACCAGTTTGTGGGGACACTCCAAAACGCAGGAGCAACCGCCGCAAATCGGTTTTGTTCGAAAAATCACCAAACTCTGATCTGGTGAACCCCGAAGAATCAAACGAAGAAGTTGCAGATTTACCAATACCACCAGGAGCTGCTAGGGAGCTGATGTACCCATCAGACGACAGTTTGGGATCAGAATATTTTAAAAATGAATATAATGTAGATGAGTGCGAAGACTTCAGGGACGACTCGTCTCCTGAACCTCTGATTGTAGAAATCGAGGAAGTGCAGGTTAGTTCTAGCGTTGATAATCTCACTCTCGATAAACCACCGGAGTTTAGTGCTGATGAATTGAAACAGCATTTTTTCTCATGAAGAAATTGAATTTTGATAATTAATTGCTGCTGCGGGGATAATGAAATTTGAAAAATAATTCCGATTGCAGCAAGCAAATCGTGTTTGAAGATGCGAAAATAATTGCTGCTGCAAAAAGTCGTTGATCTTTGAGGAAACGACTCTGCAAATTTGTATGAAACGTATATATTTTATAAGTCATATTCTGAAATAAGAATTTTGAAAAATAATTGCTGCTGCGGTAAGCAGTTCATTTTATAGGACATGTTTTAAAATAGAAATTATAGCTGCAGTCAGCGGCATAGGGCGTATTTTAAAGTGGAATTTTCTAAAATAATTGCTGCTGCGGTAAGCAGTTCATTTTTAAGACATATTTTGAAATGGAAGTTCGAAAAATAATTGCTGCTGTAGTAATCAATTCATTTTTAGCCAAATTTTGAAATAGGAAATTGGAAATATTTGTTGCTGCAGTAAGTGGTTTATTTTTTAAGGCATATTTTGAAATGAAATTTTGTAAAATAGTTGCTGCTGCAGTTAGCAATTTATTTTATAAGACATACTTTAAAGTGGAAATTTCAAAAGTAATTGCTGTTGCAGTAAATATGAAATGGAGAAACAATATGAATTTTTTTAACTTTAATGGAATTTTATATATATCAAATTTAATTTAATGATTTTTAACTTTATTTATTTAATTTTGTCGATTTTAACATTTTCTAACTTATATTTTGAAATAGAAATTTAAAAATTAATCATTGCTGCGGGTCATTTCATGGGCCATATTTTAAAATAGTAGTTTTTTATAATATATACATTTATAATAACACACATTTTTAACTTTATCTATTTGAAATGAAATAGGAATTTGAAAAATACTTGCTGCAAAAACGTTCTTGTTATAAAACATATTTTAAAATGGGAATTTGAAAAGAAATTGCTGCTGCAGTAATTATGAAATTTTATAGTTTATGGAATTGTAAATATATCAAATTTAATTTAATAATTTTTAGCTTTATTTATTTAATATAATCGATTTTAACGAATTAAAGTAATTTATAGGAAGAATACTTGCTGCAAAAACATTCAGTTCATTTTATAAAACATATTTTAAAATAACAATTTAAAAAATAATTGCTGCTGCAGTTACTATGAAATTGTAAATATATCAAATTTAACGATTTCTAACTTAATTTATTTAATAATTGATTTTAACAGAACAAAGTAATCTTGCATTAAAAATTTTGAAGTAGGAATTTGAATTTAAATGAAGAATTTGAAAAATAATTGCTGCTGCAATAAACAGTTCATTTTATTTTGAAATAGAAATTTTAAATTTGAAAAATAATCAGCAATCAGTTCATTTTTTTTTCAATTTTAAAATAGGAATTTTAAACAGTAATTGCTGCTGCAGAAATAATGAAATGCAGAACCAATATGAAATTGTAAATATATCAAATTTAATTTAATGAATTTTAACTTATTTTATTTAATATTGTTGATTTTTGAAAAATAATTGCTTTCGCACTAAGCAGTTCATTCAATTCAATTCAAAAATAATTACTGCTGCAGCAAACATTTTATCTTTTCTGTAAAACATAAATGAAATTGTAAATAATCAAATTTAATTGATTAAGTTTTAACTTTATTTAATATAATATAATCGATTTTAATGAATTGAAGTAATTTTATAAGACAAATTTTAACATAGGAATTGGAAACATAAATGCTGCAGCTTATTTTATAAAACGTATTTTGAAATATCTATTTTATTGCTGCTGCAGCAAACTGTTCATTTTATAAGGCCCATTTTAAAATAGTAATTTTAAAATTAATTACTGCTGCAGCAAACAACTTATCTTGAAGTCATTTCGGCAAAACATATATGGAATTGTAAATATATCAAATTTAATTTAATAATTTTTATCCTTATGTATTTAATATAATCGATTTTAACCAATTAAAAGTAAAATTATATTTTTAAGTTTACCTTATAAGACATATTTTAAAATGAAAATTTTAAAAATAATTTGAGAGATATTTACTGCTGCAGCAAACAACTTATCTTTGAGGATACTTTTCTGGAAATTCATATGAAGTGAAATTTGTAGAATTTTTCAGATTTTAATCGTGACAACTTGGTCAACGATGACCACCAGTCTAAATAATCTTTATCAAAGACATTTTTGAAGCATAAAATAAATAATGAAATTGAATAGAAACACTATGAAATTTTATAACGCTTATGAAATTGTAAATATATCAAATTTAGTTAAATAATTTTTAACTTTATATAATTAATATAGTCGATTTTAACGAATTAATAGTAATTTTATATATTTAAGACTTTCTAGTGACCCATTTATTTTATCGATTATCATTTTAGTCAAACAGATTGCAATATTTTTACTGAATATGTATAATATATTGTTTTACCCAATTGTAAATATGTAATATTAAATTAATAACCCATCAACTTTTGTAAAGATATATATAAATGTGTGTAAATAATTAATCGTAGAGTTTCTGAAAGAGCTTATCGTCTGCTTCGTAAGGGGAGGTTAGTAGTTGGTTTTTCATGTGCATTCTTACTGTGATATTCCGGTTGGTACAACTGTTATATAAATTTTAATAAACTATTAAATAATGTTTGGATTCGAGGGCGTGCGTGTGGGACGTGTACATTTTATAAAAAAAACTGGATATAAATATATATATGCTGGGTGTATAGTTTTGCGTACTAAGGTAATGTGCAGATTAAGTTTTTTACTCGATTGTGGTCTACGTACTTGTTTTATTGCCATTTTTTGTCGTTACAGTTATTTTTATGAGTAGGGAAACCTTTCGACAATCTTAAGACCAAAAAGTTTATCATGTAATCCAAGAACGATATCATCATTATATATATATATATATATATATATATATATATAGTTCATTATTATAGTATAGGCTTTTAGTTCATAACGATATTTATTAATAATTTTTTGTTCCTTAAAATTTTTATTTGCAGCCAAATAGTCGAAATAAAAAGCAATATATAATTAACTATATATTATGTACGTTTCGACACTGTATGTGTGTCATCATTCAGCATGTTTAATAAATTTAAATCAGGAAGAAAAACTCACAACCACTTTATTTGAATATTTTGAATTTTTTTGAATAATGTCTTTATTTTTATCCAATTTTAATTTTAAGTATAGATAAGTCATTAATTGGTATATATTTATTAAACTTCAATATAATCATTACACAAATTATGGATATAAATAAACTTATATTCAATCTGCGTTGCTAGCAATAAACTGCAGTTCAGCCAAATATTTCGACCCCAAACTTGCCCTTCGTTCATTCAGTTCCCTTGCAACTTTTGTAAAAATTCTTTCACCAGGTATAGAATTTCCAGGAATATTTAATCTTTTTAACACAACTTCATATAAATGTGGATAAACCTGTTTTCGCCCAAGGTTTAAAACCCACCACATCAATGGAAATTTATGAAGACTTACAATTGGTTCTTCGATGTATCTCGATAATTCATTAGCACCTGAACCATCATATTCAGGGACAGAGGTTTCGATGATGTACTGCTCCCATATAGATCCTGGAAATAAGTTCTGGGTTTTTTGAATCGGTGCACAGTTTTCTTCGAAGGTTTGTTTTAAGTTTGCCAATGCTTTGTGGTATTTTGTTTGATCGCTGAAACCGTTTTTCTTGAATCTTGGATCCAGGATTGTAGCTTCAGCGTACAGTTGATTAGATTCCACATCATGATTGATGTAAAAGGTTCGATGCATGGAGTCTATTAGTTGTTTTATCAGTTTTTTAACAATTGGTACTGTTTCTTTGCGTTTATGCATATCCAAGTGTTGGCATAAAAGGCGACAGTACACGATAATTTTGGATAATGACACATATTTATCAGCAGATATTTCCATAGTGACTTCGTAGAATGGTTTGAGGATTTGTAGACTATGCTCTGCTATCTCCCAATCTTCTTCTGAGAGATGGTCCTTACTTGCAATGATACGATTCAGCATATCATATAACGAATTCCATCTGTACGTCATATCTTGTATCAACTCTGGCGGTAGCAGGCTTTCTTCATAATTTTCTGCAACTTGTTTCATTTTGACAACTGCTGCATGGAGTTCACCAATTCCAGAAAGTAAGATGTGATTTAAGATATGCGCAAAGCAAGTTATTTTAGACCATCCTCCGATAGTAAGTGCTTTACCGATGGCTGAGTTGATATCACTCACCACAGCCTCTATTTTTTCCAATATGTCCCACTTGTTTAATTCATTTTTTAATAAAGCGTTTAATTCTAATCCGGTGTACAGCAAGCTGCTTAATAACTTGGCACACCGATTATGATCTTTATCTATGTAATGTGCTGTTAATACCATATAGAATTTACCTTTGAACGATGTCCATGTTTCAATTGAGATGCATACTGAGGTCGCATTTGATATTTCGTTGCCCACACTATTCAAAGTCTGTTCATAAATTTGTGGCAACAAAATTTGCGTCAAAGTTTCTCGAGTTGGGACGTTGTATCCAGGATTTAACAATATTAACAGCTTTCGAACTTCAACTTCTTCAATTATTAGTATTCCCTTGCAATCATTTTGACTAATTGTGCATCTATTTCAGATGCTTCGTGCATAAACAGAGGATCTGTATTTTGCATGTAATCATAATTATCTATATGTTCCATTGTATGATCATGCTCTGTTTTCGATGTCGAAGCTTCTGAGGATGTTTTGTCCAAGAATCCGGACTCACGCTTTATGCCCAGACAAAATGCTACCGCGGGATGTTTTCTTTTTAGATGTCTCGCTAAATTCCAGTTTTTCCAGTATTCATCTTTAAACACCAAAACAACTTTAATATTTTTTTTAAATAACATACGTTGCCCGTAAATTATTTTTTTATTAATAACAAATTGATATATCGTTCAAATTATATATTATATATTCATTTATACTTTAAAATAAAGCTTTATCTAAATTTAAATTTATTATCTATAAATATATTTTTTAACTTCTAGTTCAATAAAAAAAATCCAGAGTTTAAAGACTTTGTTGAATAAAAAATAAACCAATAAATTAAAATAATAAACTAAAAATTAAATAATAAAATTTAGTTTGTCATTTTACAATTTGCTAAATAAATGTGGCTAGGTAAATAATATTATTAATTAACTTTATTTTATCATTTTATTTTATTCAATAGTTTGTATTTTTCATTAAACGTCTTTAAATTCGTGTGTGTTTTTTTTTTCCTAATTTGTATTTGTTAATGTGCTGAATGATGACACACATACAGTGTCGAAATGTACATAATAAATATATAATTATTTACTACTTTTTATAAAAACATAAATCAAGTTTGTTAATAGTTAAACATCTACAAAAAAACATTTCTCTTTTGTAAACTTTTTTTTTTAAATTAATTTTTTGGAAAAGTATCAAACCAAATTCTTGAAAATTCTGGATATATATATATATATATATATATATAAATAATTATGAAATATGAACAACAATTTACAATTTTTTGAGACTCGGTTTGTCTCATCATCAGTATAAAAAATTTAGGATATATATAATTAGGATATATATATACACATATATATATATATATATATATATATATATATATATATATAATGAACTATGAAATAAAAACACAAAACACTCATTTTTGCACTATTTATGAAGCATTTTAAATTTTATAAACTTTTTGAGACTAGGTTTATGTCCCATCATCAGTATAAAAATTTTAGAGATTTAATCACTAACATAAGACAAGAAGGTCCATGTTATCCGATGCATGATGAATATGACTCAGTAATAAATAACACATGTGTGTTTTAGACTAGATGACTTACTTATCTTATTAAATTCAAGATAAATCGCTTTTCTTTGACTTTGGGATTATGATACAGAAAATCGGTTATACACTGATGATGTGACAAACCTAGTCTCGAAACGTTTGTAAAATTAAGAATATTTTTGATAATGATATTTATATATTTATGTTTATATTTTGGATACCGGATTAAATTTAGTAATTACAGAAAATAATTATCACACTGAAACGATATTAAACTTAACATTTGTATTATGTAATGCAATAACTTGAACAAAAAATGTTTTTGATATTGAAATAGTTTATTTAAGGCTTGTAGATCTTGAGATTCTTTTTGATGGTAAAAAAATCCTTTAATTTTTTAAGTCCCAAATTTGGAAAAATAATAATTAAGAGCAGTATCAAGAAAAAATATTATATGCAAATAATTGTAATGATAAAATACTTTGGGTAGAAAAAATACTTTGGAATAAAATTAACTTTTTTGGAAAAATAACAACATTCAATGAGTAGTGCCAAAAGAATGTTGTGTGTTCATATATCATTCTTATACATACATATATACATATACACATATTATATATATATATATATATATATATATATATATATATAATAAGCCTATTACTACTCATTGCATTTTTATTGTATTTTTTTTTTAAGTTTATTTATAATTTTTATTCGGGATCAAATATGTCATCGAAGTGTATGTTATTGTTGCCTGATTGACGATCGTTGTGATAAACCAGTTTTAATTTAAAAATGGCAAAATTTATTTTAAATTGTTAATAATGAATTGTTTAAAAATTATATTTTAACTGTTGGCGTTTATTTGACTGCAACAATTGATGTTGATGTGTTCCCGCCTAAAATAATAAACCTAATCAAGGAGCTATACTGTAATAAAAGATAAAAGATGTTATTGAACTTTTTAAAATTTGTAATTCTTTAACTGGAAAATTGAAACCAATATTGAAGTGCTTGAAGTTTTTAAAATTATGGTATAGCTTTGTTTGATGTGTTTCAAGGCAAAATATATTTAAGGAATTTTTCACAGTTTTGTTTGAATCATTTAATGAAATTAATTAATAAGATTTTTTTTAACATAATTTTTATTTCTCGTGTTGTTTTTATCAATTTTATTACTCAATGAACATGGTTAAATGTTTACTGTCCCAAATAATCATGGATTACACAGTGTTTAAATGTAAAGTAATACTAAATAAATAAATCAATGTTATGTTTTTATCAAATTTTATTACTCGATGAACATGGTTAAATGTTTACTGTCCCAAATAATTCATGGATTACACAGTGTTTAAATGTAAAGTAATACTAAATAAATAAATCAATGTTACCAAAAAATCCATCTGTTAATTATAACTATAAATTCTCAATTTTATTAAGTACCTCAATATAAAGAATCACATTTATAATTTGTCATGTATCCATATTCTGTCTGTATGTCTGTTTGTTTGTTTGTTTGTTTGTTTGTTTTGTATGAAATTGCTTCATTTACTTTGTAATGAGAAATAATAATTAATTTATTACTATTTCTCTTGTTTGTGAGTTTTTAGATTTTATACACACACACAACAGTTATGCTATTTGATGAGATACACTTAATTTTATAGTAACCGATAGTTTAATAATATATTTTTATAAAAATGATCGATCGACCCCTTTTTTAGTATTCCTAAAATGAAGAATTCTCATTTTAATGTGTATATACCTTAACTTACTTTATAAATATGTTTAATAAAAATAAATATTATGAAAAGGGAGTTTTATTGACTTTTCCGAGGAGGGGTTTGATTTTGCTAAGTAATCATTTGTTATTATAAATGTATTATAAAGGCAATTAAAAATTGATGAAATTTTACTTAAATAATAATATTATTAAAATTGTTTTAGCAGAAATTGAAAATTGGTGAAATTTTTACTGAAAAAAACATTTATTAACAATATGTTTTAGAAGAAATTCATAATTAGTAAAATTTTATCGAAAAAAAAAAAACAAATTTTACTTTATAAAATCATTTGTGATAGAAGAAATTTAAAATTTTTACTTTAAAAAAAATATTATTAATAAAAATGTAATAGAAGAAATTCAAAATTGATAAAATTTTGACTTAAAAAAAAATATTATTAGGGATGTTTTAGATGAAATTGAAAATTGGTAAAATTTCTAAATAAACAAAAAACATTTCTTATTAATGATATGTTAGAAGAAATTCAAAATTAGTAAAATTTTATCTAAATGATAATGAAATTTAAAATTTACAAAATTTTACTTAAAAAAATTAATTATTAATAAAAATGTGCTAAAAGAAATTCAAAATTGATAAAATATCTATAATACTCTTAAAAAAGCAATTTGTTATTAAAAATATGCTAAAGAAAATTTAGAATTGGCAATATTTCACTTTAAAAAATCATGTTTCATTAAAACTGTAATAAAAAAAATTAAAAATTAGTAAAATCTTACTTTAAAAAATCATGTTTCATTAAAAATGTGATAGAAAAAATTAAAAATTGGCTAAATTTTACTTAGAAAGATCATTTTTTATTAAAAATGTGATGGAAAAAATTGAAAAAAAAACCAAAACAATACATTTTTTAAATCACTTTAAAAAAATTTGAAATCTTTAATAATAAGCAAATATAAGAATTATAATTATTCACCTTTTATATATAATATTTAATTATAAAAATGTGTCCTAAGGTAAAAACTTTTTTTATAAACATACTATTTAAAGTCTAGTTGTTCTAACAAAAAAATCGTTTTTGAAATTCGCGCCAATATAAAATTTCAAATATCACTGAACTGTTTCATTTATATTTAAAATTTAATCAAATTTATTACTTTAAATTGTATTTTTTCTTCAAATTCTTAATGTTTAATTGAATATACGTATATATCATTATTTTAAAAATGTAGAGTTCCATAAATCTCTTTCAAATTAAACCTTTTTTGAATTTCGCGCCATTACAAAATTTTGAACAGCAGTTGGAACATTACTTTATATCATTTATATTACAATTTTAATCATATTTAATAACTTAAATTGCGTGTTTTTTTTCAAATTTAATACTTTTTAACAATTTTAGTTTGGTGATAAATAATTTTTGGTTAGATCGGAGTCTTTTTATTAGTCACTACGCAAGACAGGAGCACATGAGGTAGTTATTTTAAAATAAATTTGTTAATGTCTAATTATAATTAAATACATAAGTAATAGTTGTTTTAATTATGTTTTAGATTGTGGATACATACATTATTATTAAAATCAGGGAAGGAAATTAATGGACAATAATTCTGGTAAGTGTTTTCAAAATTTTTCTAGAACATGACTCTACATTATTATTAGTAGTTAATATACAATTATAGTTAAATACATTTATAACAACTGTTTTAATTGTATTACAGATTGCGAATAAATACATTATTAACATCAGTGAAAGGAATTAATGGACAATAATAAATTCAGGTATGTGTTTCAAATTTTTTCTAAAACCTAGTCTAACATGA